GGGGGGGGGATGGGTCAGTTTGGACTGTCGGACGGGCTTATTTGCTTGAATCCGACACCGAATTTAATCAGGAGGTCAGGATCGAGTAAATGTTTGCTCCAGTTTGCTGTCGTTTCTTTCCGCATGATTAGAGGTCGCGCAGCTTTATAAGTCGTAAAAGAAACTTCGTTTTCCTCCCGTTTACGTTTCCCGGTTACGCTTTCCCGAACGGCTAGTAGCGCGTCTCATCGCCGAAACGAGGGACAAAGTGGCTTCATGGCAAAATTGCAATTACACATACGCGAGCGTGAGAAAAGAAGTTCTCGGGGGAGCGATCATTCAAAGCGTATTTCGGGACTCTTCCTGTCCGAGGCGAAAATTTGCAGCACCGAGAGAGGAGCTCGGTTTATCCATCCCTCTGCAAATATCTACCGAGATCGGAGCGCGGAATATCTCACAAGTTCCGACAAGTTAATTCGCGGGAATTTATCGTACAAATTACATCGTTCCATTGTGCAAATGAAAATTCGACGCTCCTTGCGGCGCGTGCGTCCCGCCAAAATTTACACCGGCCCGCCCTTCCGGCGAATTCGCCGAAACTCGCGCGCTTGCTCAAACTCAAAGTTATTAATCTGACGGGCTTCGCTTTTACTAGAAACGGCGCGCGTTCGAGTGCCAGTGCGGACGAAACCGCCCCACGTCGGAAAATTATGTTTCACGAGTGAGCGCGACAATGGCGAACGAAAGTGGCCGCCGCGTCGCGGGACCCGCGAAGCCTTAATCCAACATAAACCGATATAAACCTCAAAACTTATATACCGCCGTAACGGTCCGGCGAGTACGGCGTTCCCGCCTCGCACGCCCACGCGCGGCCCCTCGAGATGGAAGTGGCGTGGTCGCCGCGAGTGCTAAAAGGGGTTGAACGGACGTGAGAAGTTGGTGGATGCGGTCGTCGGGGCGCGACGTGACGGGAGTGGGCTTGGCAAAACGTGCCCTCTCGTCCGGACTCGCAGCGATCGTTTCTTTTCTTCTTGCCTATCCACATTTACGCTCTCTTAGCCCTTCAACTCTCGCCCGCCCACCCTCTCCTCCCTCGCCTCACTCTCTCTCCGCCGCCTTTCCGCCGAGTTTTCCTTTCTTGCCATCCCTTTTCCCCCGACCGACGGCACATCGTCGTGACAACCGGAAGTTGAAGAAGCTGCTCCCGATCGATACCTGGCGCTGTTTGGTCCCGTCCCTCCCCTCGCCCCTCCTCGCCCGCCCCTTCACCTCGGCACCCGGCGGGAAAAAAAGTTGGAGCGTCATCCGCGGAGGAGAAGAAAAAGAAAACGAAGAGGAGGAGGAGGGGAGGAGTAAGAAGAAGATGAAAAAGGAGAGGCAAACGACGGCAGTCGCGACGTTCCAAATTGAGAGCGATAACGATAACGCGGCGGGACGGCTTAAAATCGAGGACGGTCGAGCGCGCGGAGCAACCGTCGCAGATTTTCGCGGTTCGCGCTTACACGAAGAGACGTGCATCGAGCGGGGCCGACGGAGGAAAAGCATTCCCGTCGGCCGCGTGATGCGTTTCTTTTTCCGCGCGCGATCTCGAGAGGCCAATACACAGGTGGAGTTATCGTCGTGGCTCCGGCGATTCTACGAAGAGAAAACAATATCAGCGCGCATATCGGCTGGCTACAAGCCCGATAGACGTTTCTCGATGGCTACGTCGCTCTCTTCCGACGTTATTTTAATTCGCCGCGATATACCGGCAACTAACAATTAAGAAAAAATGTGAAAACTATAGAAAGTGTATATATATAAAACTATAGAAAGCATATGCCGCCGTCCGCGTCTATACACGAAAAAAATATTAAGTGTTATTAACGAGACTTTGTTTGGTTTTACCAATGAAGAAGAAGAGGGCCGGTAGAGTTGAAACATTATAGCTTTCAAAGTTCGGAGAAACCAAATTTTTTTTCACTTTTCGGGCGTACATTTAATACACGATCAACCATGTATCTTCCCACAAATACGATTAGTATTAATATGAATTATATCAATATTAATTATATTAACATTAAGATGATATTAATATTAATATTAACTACAATAATATTCAAACTAGAACATCCGTG